CTCTCTCTCTCTCTTTTCTTTCTCGCCGTCGTGATCTGCTGTTCCCGCGCGCGGCCGCGCGGCAGAGAGTGCGCCTCTTTTCTTTTGCCCCCCCCCCCTCCCCCTCTTTCCTCTCCCTCTCTCTTTCTCTTTCTCTCTGTCTCGCACCCTGCTCCTCCCCGCGGCGGCGGCGGCGGCAGGGCGCGGTCGTCGTCGAGGCGATGAGCGAGAGGAGGCTGGTGGTGGCGAGAGCGAGGTGCATTGCATATAAACAGCAACAACAACAAGAGCAGCGGCAGTGAATAGCAGCGCGCCGCGGCGATATGGTGGGGGGAGATCCGACTCCACCGTGGATAAAAGGCGACAGGTGCTGCTCGCGCCGCGGTGGGCGCGGCGTGGCGTGGCGTGGCGCGGCTTTATCCGTGGGAGCTTAGAGAGCTTCCGAGTACGTCCCCGCCCGCGGCCCGGCCCCGCCGCGCGCCTTATCAGAGAACGGGGCGCGGCCGGCAGCTAGGGCGACGCGCTGCTGATCAACCTCGCGACCTGCTGGCATGCCACACCGTGCCACACCTGACTACAAATAACAGCGGGATATACAACGCGTTATGACGTCAACGCTACGGATCTATGGCGTGATTTGCCTGGAGGTTGCCCCCCCCCCTTCCACCCCCCTGGAAAAAGAAGTTTCGGGGCATGTACCATTTTAGTATGCGGACAATTGGCATCTGAACTGAAACAAACCCACACCTGCGCGTCTTCCATGAATCACCCGGTAGACAAGTGTCGGGCCATTGTCGCAATCAAATTTTGTTTTGACCACCAGCAGCATACCGCTGGCTTTTAATCGGAACCAGGCGAACAGAGATATGATGACACCAGGTGTGCGCGTGCACGTGTGCTAGAGTGTTGCATCCTGTTTCGCGTCCAAACAGGGCAAAGTGGCCTAAGCAATACATAACCTACTTTGGGGAAAGTTAAAGAAGTTTATGAATAGGATAACTTCAATTTGAAATCGACTTTTAAATATAAGTTTTCATATTCATAGAACTCTTAGCCGTATTAAGATATGTGAACACAAACATTTCCGAAATATGTTTAGTTAAGTTTGCATGCCCTGAGTCCAAGTTGGCGTTTACATTACCATCCTGCCAGCCCCCGCCCCGAGAGCAAGATGTGGTCATGTGAACCCAGTTCAAGGGTCGCGCAGGAAGAGCAGGATATGGTCATGTGAACCCAGTTCAAGGGTCGCGCAGGAAGAGCAGGAAGCCCGAGTGACCCGCTATCGATAACGCGTTACACGGGTAGGCAGATACCAGGCAGAGCAACACACGGGTGCCCGGCAGAAAGATAACGGGCGGCGGGACAGAGGGCGGGTGCCGTCTGCTTCTAATACCGGGAAGTTTGTTGGTTCCGAAGACGGTCAGAGACAAAAGTGCTGTTCCTGAAAAGATTATTGGTTCCGAAGACGGGCGCGGATGGGGGGTAAGGGGGCAGTGTTATTCGCGGTATGTTGGTTATTATGTCGAAATACGCTTTCGACAAAGAAACTCGAATTCTTACGTAACTCAAAGGTAGCCAGTCAGCTTATTGCAGGGCGGTGTGCACACGTGCAATCTCCATCCCGATATCCTATGATAGTCGAACGCGGATGATGACGAGACGCTAACCGAATTACAAGAGAGTCACGCGCCTTTAAGCTTTAAAGCGTCTGACTCACCGTGACACGCAAACGAGATCGTGGACCGTGGACCAAGGCTGTCACACACACCACTAGTTGGCATTCGACTTTTGAATCTCGTCAAGAGCGAACTTGCACGCGCGTCTATGCAAAACGCATCGAGTGTTAGACGACACGACACCTTGCCCTCCCGCACGCCGCCGTCAGGAGAGCAGGAATGTTTGCCCCCGGTGGGGCCGCAGAGGAGTGTGTTCCACGCGGCAACGCCGCCCCGCCCCCCACAGCCCCCCGCGCAGTGCCCCTTTTCCTGTTCCTCCTCCTTCTCCTCCTCCTGCCTCCTGAGTTGCCTCCGGGTGCCTCCGGTTGCCCCGCGGGTGCCGAGTGCCGCTGCCTCCGGTTGCCTCTGCTGCGGGTGCCTGCCTGTTGCCCGGTGTGCCCCCGTGATGCTGTGTTGTTGCTCCACCGGACGGACATTTCGACAGCGGCAGCACGGACAGCAGCGCGCGGCAGGATGGTGCAAGTAGGACGGCCCGGCCCCGGACGGCAGTGACCAGCGGTGGCCTGGGAGCAGCATCAGGGGCTCTCCTCCTCCTCCTTGCACCCCGCTCACCGAGCCGCTCGCTCGCTCGCTGACAAGAGGAGACGAGCGACAATTCATTATCGGCCGGCTCATGGCATGGCGAGGCTCACGACGATGTCTCCCATGGCGCGCAGCAGCAGCACAGCCCCGGCCCATGAGCGGTTCGTTGTGGGGGAGTGGGGAAAAAAATACTAAGTCTATTCCTGGCAAGGGCCAGGCCTGGTGCAGCAGCAGGTGGCACCACGGGCACCATGAGCAGCACCGCGGGACTTGGTGCAGCAGGTGGCACCACGAGCACCACGGGCACCATGGACATCATGAGTAGCACCGAGGTCCGTGCAGTAGGCAGCACCACGAACAAGCCCCACCGCGAGACTTAGTGCAGCAGGTGGCACCCCGAGCACCACGAGCACCATGAGCAGCACCGCACGACGTTGTGCAGCAGGTGGCACAACCAGCACCATGAGCAGCACCGCGGGGCGGGGCGACCGCAATGCACGCCGAGATATCGACCCCTTCCGCATCCCCTCTGCGCCCCACCCCACCACATGCTACCCCCCTCCCCCCTAACCTGCCCAACCAGGCAGTCGGCGTGTCAGCAAGTGCGTGATTGGGCTCGGTACCCTGAGCTTTAGTACAGTCTCACTTTCGACAAAGTTTGCGCTAGCTCAGCCCAGCCAACATGACTTTTGAGATAATCCACCAAAAATGACACAGTCCAAACAAAGCCTCCAATGCCGTGTTTCACGCACGACGTGAGAGTGCACCTGACGGGTGTGGAAGGGGAGGAAGGGGAGGGAGGGGAGGGGGCTGCTGACGGGGCCTCCCGCGTAGCTCGGCTGCTGGTGGAGCCGGTGCACCCACCCTGGGAAAAATAGTAAGTGGCAAGGTGGCATTAAGGTGGCAACTAGGTGGCGAGGTGGGCGAAGTGGCATGTAAGGGGCAAGGAAGTGGCAACGAGGTGGAATGCGGCCAAGTGGCATAGAGGTGGCAAGCAGGTGGACCTGGGTGGCATCAAAGTGGCATCGAGGAGCCAGCCCCAGGTGGATGTTAAGGGGCATCTAGGTGGTATTGTAAGTGGCAAATAGGAGGTTAGGTGGAAAGTAACTTGGAATAAGTGGCGAGGCGTCCTACGCGGTCAATCAGAATGCAGAAATAAAAAAGACTTATACATAACAGCAAGAGAAAAAATATGAGACGAGAAAAATATAATTTCCTTTTATTAATAATGTAACACCCCAATTTTTTAAAGATAATGTTAAAAGTCTGTACTGAAAGAACTTTTCATTCAATTTTATAAAACTTATTAAGATATGAATCATTAAACCATGTTTATTGCTTGCTTTTATTCCCTGAGTCCACAAACCAGATTTGACTTGTGACTGTTATGGACTTAAAAAAGAATTTTTTTCTCTTTCCTATGTTTTTTTGTCTTCGTATTGTTATTATCCTCATTTTATAACGTTACTACATTTAGTTGGAGTGGCATCTCTCTTAGTGTTAGCCGTTCTGGGATCCATTAGCCTGCCAAAGCCGCTAACTTTTATCGAACTTGGTTGTGTTAAAAATGTGACACTTTTGTATTGTTAATGGATATAGCAATGGTTTTGCATGAATTCTTCTTGCAAAAGATTTTATCGACTTTGCCTTTATCTAGACCCAAACCTCATTTCATGATACTTGCGTGTAAATAATAAGGTAGTATCTATTAAAAATCATATGTATCATATGGTAAAGTACTTTGTTTCAGATAAGTTTGATTAAGATTAGCAACTGTTATTGTAAGTGAGAGGGCAGGTAGAATAAGCTGCAAGCTTTTAAATCACTCAGTCAAAAGAAGACCGGATGTAAAACAAATAGTTGACAGAGTGAGCTTTAACTTAATTTCTATTTTGAAAATATTTTCTGAAAGTTCAATGAGTCAACATTATGTTTTTTTTATCCAAGATACATATTGATTGTCCATAGTAACAGGATTTTTACTAAGTGCTATCAAAACACACACTAAAGTATCATGAACTGACTATAAGAATCCCTTTAAAAACTTTTCTGTATCTATTAACAACGCAAAAGCTTCATATTTTTAACACCACCAAGTTTAATAAAAGTTAGCAGCTTTGGTAAGCTAATCGATCCCAGAAATGGCTATCACTAAAAAAAATTCCAATATATGAGAAACCCAACGGGGCCGACTGGCAAAGAGGTGGCAAGCAGGTGGACCCAGGTGGCAGTTAAGTGGCATCAAGGAGACAGTTTGAGGTGGCATCTAAGTGGTATTGTAAGTGGCAAGTAGGTTAGGTGGAAAGAAAGGGGATATTAAGAGAAAACTAAGGTTTGCAAGCCTAGTTGAACAAAACATGTATACTAGAGACTAGTCTCACTCAGTAACTATCTCTGCAACAGTTAATTTTTCCTTCAACTGGGAAGATGAAATGCAAAATTTATTTGATTTGAGTGTGCTTATTTCCTACTGCTGCAGTCTTGATGATAGGTCATAAGGTCTTCTCCTCCATGGGTTTTCATTTAAACATAAGTCACTTACTATACATAGATTTTTATTGTGCTATCACATAACAGTACGGATACATTTTTTTCATGTACACTTCATTTCATCTTACAGGGATCATAGTTCACAATAAAGACTGAGTGTTCACTCTTTGCTGTAACTGTAAGAAATCTCACCCAGTCTGTTTACGGTACACATGTTAAACCTGAGGAAAACAGAAAGCTGGCATAGTTAAATTTCAAATCATACATTTTTTTTTAAAAGTTCCAAAAGACATGCAAGGTTTGTGCTTATTCAATTTTAATTAAACTATAATGCTCATCTTCGAACTTGATCTGTCTTTTCATGATACAAAACGACCCTGAAATTCCCAGGTCGCTAACTCAATGCCTTCTTGAGTTATCGTGCATAAAGACATACAGACAGACAGACAAACAAACAAACAAACAGAATGAAACTTTTTTGGTCAGTGGAGTAAGGGGCCTTGCTAATCGCTCAGCCAATTACAACATTAGCATACACAAATATCAAATGACTGCCAACTCGTTGCATGATGAATACTTCCTGGCTTGGCCTGAGAAAACCTGTTTGTTAAAGCCACAAATGTTAATCGCCTCTGCAACCATATGGCACATTTGTAACATACATTCCTCTGTCAGTCGTCATAAACATGCACTGACCTCCAACATCACTAGGTCTAAGAGCTAATAATCTGCCTTCACATCTTATTTTTGTAATGTGTTTCAAATGACACCCACTTAGACTCCAAATAGGTCGAGTGTCTTGAAGCATTTCTCGTGCAAATATGATGACAGTAGAGTCCCTTTCATCTAGAACTACGTTGGTGATTTTACACTTATTGTTACCACCTCTTAAAACGTAAACACCACTATCATCTCTTTTGAAAGCAGCTTTGTAGTCTACTGTAGTGAAGCGTAGCCCATCATGAATAAACTTCTGAAATCTGGCCACATTTCCCATGAAGACCTTTCTCTGGCCGTCCCAAACAGCAGCAACCTCCTCATCAGACAATTGGTAATCTTTACCCTGGCCGACCAACGCCACCCCATCAGATCTTGTAGCCCACCTCAAAGGTCGGAAAAACATTTGATTGCAAAAGTTTAGAGTTTCATCGGACACATTAAACTTATCACATAAGCGTGGAAGGTTGTTGTAGATTGAGTATCTACGTGCCACACCTTTGGCTAATTCAAGTGGACTTTTAGACATTTGGAGAAGGTACCTATTTTTCCCCTCAAAAGGGTAACATGTATGGGTCCAAACAGGACCAAGATTAAAAACAGATTTCACAACATGCAGAAGTAAATGAACATTGTAAGTCATATTGAGTGCCCCATAGTACTTCTCATATAAAGTCACATACATGACAAGTAATTTACTAGCATATTCCAATTGCCTGGGAGTAATTCGCTTTTGCATTAGAAGATAAAATGCACTGGAAAGAAGACAAAAATGAGTTAGGTTTTTAGTTTCGACAATGCCATGCATTACAACTGGTCCATAAATAACCAGCAAAGCTCTAAGTTCATTTGCTTTGAAATGTTCTTTCTCCTTCAGGCTTCTTGGAGTCCTTGTCAGCACAGATGGTGGATGTAATCCCAAAATTCTTTCTGATATTCTATCAATTTCATCATCATCTAAAGTGGCAAGTATAAGATCAAGGTTTTGATTAACAACACCTTTCAAAAAATGCATAGAGTCTGGCGGCATACCTGAACCTAAGTCAAAATAATCAAGATTCATAAGAACAGATGGCCCTCTACATCCTTTGTAATGTCTTTTTCTGGAGTTTGGATGATTTCTCCTACTATACCCTTTTAACATTTGATCCCTATAAATAGCATCAGTTCGGTCAGTAGGAATGCTTTCTAGCCCCAGCATGGTGTACCTGACACTTCCACGTATATATTCCCCTTCCATGTCACAGAAGGTACAGCCAGAATAACCTGAAAACTGTTTGTGGTTTAACATAGGGTACCGAGCCTGGGTGTCAACCACACTAAACAGTGGAATAACCTTGCTATTTACTATCATACCATCTCTCTGCCAGTCTAGCCCCTCTCTGGACAGCTGATTTGATTCTTTTACAAATGGCTGCAGCATCACTAACATGTTAGGTTTTGCTTTGCCCACAAAAAGCCCCACTAGTAACATATGACGTGACCTCAATTTTGGTGGCAACTCATTTATCATTAGGTATATTGGCCAAAGTTGCTGGGTGGAGGAATTTCCTACTTTCACCCCATCAGTGTTAAATGAAAATGATAGATTATTTCTACAACTCAATACCGCCCCATCGCTGCTCAGATTTTTGTACAAAGCACCATCATAAATATCTTCAATGGTGTCAGGACCAGCTTTTACCCTAGTGAAACGATAATTCAAAGCTTCCGATATACCAGGTTTTTCAAGTAAATCTTTGATTTGTTGTTTCATACCCAGAGACATGACAAATTGTTTACAGCGCAACGGTGACTGCAGAACATGTCCACAGTCACATTGCATAGCAGATTCAGTAGCTGCCTCTCCAATGTAGTTAGCACACTCGGGGCAAATAGGATGCATTTGTTCATGAACTCGACTAGGCTCTGCATGTTTCAAAAGATAATAGTAAGATGATGGCACAACCTCCCTCTTATACAGGACATTAATCATTTGCAGAATGTCAGTCATAGCGGCATATGAAAGACTATGTCTCAGGCCAAGTGATAACACTGCGAGCAAAGTTTCTCCCTGAGTTGTTTCAGTGCAATCACACAGCGTGTCCCTCATCTCACCATACCGCTGTTCAAGTTGAACTGGACGATTCCCCACCTCACTTTGAGCATCTTCAAAAACTGTGTCATCAAGAGCCATTCCTTCGTCTTCATCGTTGAAACTGAAGGTCACAGCAGAGTGTTCATTATCCATGTCGACTGATAGATGGCTGTCATCAATAGCTGTTTCCATTTCATCTCCTGACTGATCAGTGAGTGGTTCAGTTGTGTCCTCTGAATCACAAGTACTGCTAGGGGCCTGTCGCAGACAAACAAGACATTACTGATAGAAAGACAAAGACAAATGCACTTCAAGATGTAGTGTACTCACTATGCTGGAATCACTTAAATTATCTTCTTCAGAACCTGTAGAGGAATCTACTGCGAATGAATAATTACTGTCAAACGATGAACCTTCATGAGCGACTAGTGGTGATGAGCAAACACTGTCACTGACACAGCTGGTGCTGTTCACATTTTCCGGTGCGTTCTCACAAACCTATGGCAGAGAATTGATTAGAGAAAACATTGGGCAAGAGGCAATGTTACATAAACAATATAAACTGACCTCTGAATTCGTTGTGGTTGACGTCTGGAATGCAGTCTCTTTGTCCTCGTCAGCATCCACTGTTCCAGAACATTGCGAATTTGGAGTAGGCATAAGGCCGAATTCCTGAAAAAAATAGCACAATTATTCAACAGACGCCACTAACCTATACAACAGTGTGGACAAATACTGAAGAGTCAGCCACTAGTTAGGCGAACACCAAAATACTTACTAGCATTATTGCATCTTCCCTGGCTCGCTTATGTCGTCGAAGCGTACGTTTAGGAATAGGTATCGCTGGGTCAACTTTGTAACGCTTGTAAGCCGGCTCCATTGCGCAGTTGAAGTAAATACGGTCAAGATTTGCGTACTGCTGTCACTTCGGGGCATAAGAGCCATACTAAACAGGTAAGATTTTCCAGAGCAGACGGACGGCCCCAGCTCAAGCGACAATTTCCTCCAAGAAAAGAAAACCAACTTAACCCTTCTGTTGCGATATTTGTTGGATTTTCCATTGCCCAACACTCACAGTAAAGCCCTAGGCTTCCCTCCCCCTCCCTCTTCGGCGGTATGAAAACACGCACCATCCAACTGTAAAGGGGCACCTGATTTTTCATACCTCTGTATTCGAATCTGAATAGGTATGGGAGGTATCTTTTCTCGACATCAAACATCCGCTTTCTCTCTCTCACTCTCTCGCTTCTTGTTCCTCGAGCAAGGTGGTTGTATTATTTGCGCAGGCCAAACTATACTGAAAAGTTCTCTCTTTTATTTTGTCTTAAGGTTAACTGCAAGGTGGTTTACTGGTAAGGTGACGCTCGGTCCGTTTGTTGGTTCATTTTGAAACGCTTCACTATTCTACATTATTTATTTTTTCTGCTTGTGAGAAAATAAACACGTGAGAATGGTGCGGCAAAACGTTCAACAAAATGAAGCACCACTCAAGTACGCGTACCTTGTTCCTGCGGGCGCCGGCCGGAATGAAGCGTTTGTTGCTAGAATTGATCTTATTAAAAATTTTCATCCTAAAGATGAAAACGATTTTAAGTACACTGACAAACATAAGTACAAGGCGTCACCAAAAACGCCATCGAAATACGTGCATGTGCTTCTGCTGGCAAGTAAGTATTCTTTCCTAACCTAAAATTGAATAAGTCGTAACCAGGACTTGTCTAAATTTTATTATCATCGTTTCAGCATCCAGCAGTGCAATGACTGCAAAAAAACAGAACGCGTCGACGTCGATACGATGGCCTCGCAGTCAGTTTAGCAGCCAGATGTGCAAGCCCTCTTCATCAGAGGATAATGCCGTTCCATCACAGAAGGTACATAGTGTAGTTCAGTTGAAGCTTCTTATTTTGCCACTTTGTTTGCCTATGTTCAGCAGTAACGTGTTGTAGAGGAGTGGTCACTTATCTATGTAACCCTGTGTAGCCTACATCAACACATTCTTTTGCTGTTTCAGGCTAAGGAGAAACAAAAACATAGCAACAATGTCAAATCCATGGATACAGTTATGAAAGCGTACCAAAAGGAAGCTCTTAAAGTTTTACAGCAGCAGCCTCCACCCGCTCAGCACAACCTCAAAGAGAAGTCCTCTCCAATAGTCAATACCGGAGATAAAGGGGCAGCCAGCTCGAAGACAGCAGTTGCTTCACCCAGGACATTTCTATCATCATCTGACTTTGCGCTTATAAGACAACAACTTTATAATGGTATCCATGAAGATTTGTGTTCACAGATTGCTGACCAGTTGCGTGATGATATTGCCTCGGAAGTACAGCAGCGCTTTGCAGTTGAGAAGGCAGAGTTGGTTAATTTGAAGTCCGAGGTTTCACAACTCATCCAGGAGCAGCAAAGTTTCTTGGAATCGATAAGACAGGAAGTCTCTGCACAGGAGCAAGGCACCAAGAACACATTCGATGGCCTCTTTCATAAAATGGAAAAGAAAATCAGAAATCTAGGTAAGTAATTTCAATTAAAGGTAATAATTTCTTTGTTTTTAGTGCATTAGCTGATGCTCTATCAAATTTGCGTATTATTTAACAGAATCTCGAGTTGGGAACAAGGAAACAGATGTAGTCCAGCATCAGGCAACCCAAGGACCAGCACACGTCGCACGGGTTACACTGAAGGCTTCACCTGGTGAACAGGTTTGTGAATGTGTATTGATTTATAACACCAGCATATTTGTATGTCAACACATACATTCATTGTCTTTGCATTCTTACAGATTGATATTGGTGAAGGTGTGTTAATTTGTGCCGAGTATTGGGCCACTGCCAAGAAAGCAGTATCTAAAGAGGCTTGGGTTTCAAATATTTTCTATGGCCTCTTCAAAGATGAGGCAAAGTTCTACCGCTGTCGTCAGCCTAGGACACAAGATACTCGACTCAAAGTTATCCCATCTATACCTCCCTATTTGGTTGTTGTTAGAGGTAAGGATTTCTTGTCATTAAAGTGTTAGACTCCTTTATTTTTTATTTTTTGAAATTATTTTAGCAAAAAGTGGTGAACATCATGTGTTATCTCTTTCAGAACATTTTCGGGAATGGCTGAGGAATAACCCTAAAGTACTTGATGAGTGGGCAAAACCAAAGCAACGCAAAGATGAAGTACTTGACCCACTTGATCTTATTATTGCCCATAGGCAATGGGACAAGCAAGTAAGGGAAGAGAGTGAACCTGACAAGAAGACGAGAAGGGCTGCACGTCTTGTGCAGATAGTCAAGAGCCTTGAGAGTCTAATAGGCGACAGAGCACAAGAACTATATAGGGTGGGGCAACCAAGGGGAGCTAAAAGGTAAATAGTACTGTAATCAATTTTGAAATAGCTATCATGTTTTCACTCGAGTGTCGAAACAATGCGTTGTCACGGGTAGTGGATTAAAAAGCATGTTACTTGTGTTGCAGGGCAAAGGTGCCGTCGCCTATACATTCAAAGGAAAGGAGAAAGAGAAAGAAAAGGAGGTGCGAATACACCTCATATAAAAGTGGGAGAAAAATTGTGAATTCCAGTGATCCTGATGACCAATTTGAACCTGTGGATAACAGCACCGAAAAAACGGTTAATGTTGAGGGTACTGATTTTATTCCTTATCAGTTAGCCGACAAAACCAGCACTCCACAGAAGAAAAATGTGGAGGATTTTGGAAATTCGAATGTTTCCTCAGCAGGTTCTATGTAAGTAATAGAGTGTTAGAGTAAATCCAGTACTTTTACGGTCAAAGTGTGTCTATACAAAATTACTTACTGACCCTCTGTTTCTATTTCAGTCCTGATGATGATAATGAAGGCGACCTCTTTGACAGTGACAATCATTCAACATCCAAGCAGTCAAGTGACAGTCAGTCTTGCAGATCCACATCATGTGACAGTCGGTTGTCTTCATCACCCAAATCAAAAAGCAGGGAAAATAGTCGTGACTCAGATGACACGTATTATGCTCCAGAAATTACTGAAAATGCTCAGCATTAATTAATCTAGTCATCAATAAATCTTAACAAATGTTTAGTTTGTTTGATTTGTTTTGTTTTATTTTATTTGTTATTACTTTATGTTATTACCGTTTTGATGTAAAAACACGTATTTATTTTTTACTCTGACTTAAATTCCAAATGATAAATTATTTAGTCGGTTAGTATTTGTAAATTTTAATCTTGTTGTTAATGTTTATGCTTATATTTCATATCATATTTTTCTGTGAGCGGCCCTACTGGCCCAATTTCTTTTAGCTGTCAATAACTTTTGGTCATAGTACTTGTCATTTCTCACCAACAAAAACGTTTAAAACCAAGGTCAGAGTCAGTGAGAAATTTGCTATTTTCTAAAGAGAGGCCATATTTTATATCTGAAAGCATTTATGTGATATTTTTCTGTTTTATTATGAAGGGTTAGTTAATATGTGAAGTGACTTCTTCCAATATGTAGAATGATGGATTTGATGAGCATTTCATTGTCATGTGCAATTTTGTTACCAATAAATGTATACATGCAAACGTATTTTCGTCTAGCGCTATTTTACCTAGAAATTCCATTATTCACTTTTGAGCAACTTAAATGCCACCTTATTGCCACCTAAACCGCGGCGCGCGCGCGCGTTTACCACCTACTTGCCAGCTTGATGCCACCTAAACGTGCCACCTCGTGCGCTTAAGCGGCCAATTTCACTTAAATGCCACCTTGATGCCACCTCCTTCCCACTTGGCCCACCCCGATGCCAGCTTGCTGCCACCTTGCCACCTAGTTGCCACCTCGTTGCCACTTGGGGCTGCCACTTCGCCACTTAAAAACCACCTCTTTGCCACCTTACTGCCACCTTGCCACTTACTATTTTTCCCAGGGCAGGGGCAGCGCCCCACAACGCACCGCCCCACCCCCGCAGCTCCATGTGCACCGCATCTGGGCTGCCGACCGACACGCCACATGTGTCAAAAGCC